CGACTGAAATTTCCCTAATTATGGGAAAAGCGGGAACAGTCATAGACCATAATGCATTCGGGGCATGCCATTAACAGCCACGAGTGCCCTTCTATTTTCGTAGTAGAAAGGCACTTTGTGGGTTAATGGCGCGCGCTGAATTCTAAACAGTACTTAGGGTATGCCGATTACGCGATCATACACTGCTGATGCGCCAACATTGACGACGAAAGATTGCCATGTCAACAAAATTAAAAATTCTAGTTATTCATCCAAAAGCATTATAATTCATCCAAAAGTTTATTCGAATAAATTAAATTGTATCTTTGAAAATCTTTAATGTATTTCAAAATCACATTTAATAATAAATTAATTATAAATCTTACTGATTATAAATTATAAATAGCAGCACGTAAATGTTAAATTAATTATTTTAAAAACATTTAATTTTTTAACTTTTTTAACTTTGCACAGAATGTATTCAATAGTCTAAATAAATATAATAAAAATAATTCCGTATAATATTTATAATTTCTTCATTTTTCGTAATAATAGTAGTGTCATTTGTCGATGTTATTATATTGTTTTCATGATTTCGTTTGTTCGTTCCGAAAAATTTTACAAGCATCGAAAGTAATATGCGATAAATAACAGTTGTTTGCCAGCATGCTGAAAGTAACTGATCAAAAATTGTCAAGTCATCTAAACATTAGTGATGTAATATCATCAAATTCGCGCGTGTCGTAATCTAATTGCAAATAGAAATTTTGTGCCAGCTTCAGCATTAAATTGAATTCGAAGAAAGCTATTCTCGAAATAACTTGTAATATTATATAATATCACTTTCTACAATACAAATAAAAAGAAGTATTATACTTTTAATAATTTTCAATTATTTTCTCAAAAAGTTTTGTAGATGTACAATATCAATTTAAAATACCGATATTAATTATTTATACACATACACACACACACACACACACACACACACACACACACACACACACACACACACACACACACACACACACACATAATATATATATATTCTCTACATTATTTTAATAAATCTGTGACAGATAAAATTGCGATCAAAAATGGAAAGTGAGTGCCATGTTGTGTATTTCGGATATCTGGGAAATTTGTGCGGGAGATAAAATCATCCGCTATAATGTACACTCGGATATAATTGCATCGGCAAATGAATGCGCCAATAATTTCGCGCGTTTTGCCGTGCACCGTAACCGCCGGGCTCCGTTCATTATACACCGCGCATTAAATTTGTGCGTCGCATCGTGCGTTAATCACGCGGCGTGCTCCTTACGGCACGCTCGCTTATTAAACTCTTATCGGTATTTGTCGTCGTCGGTCGGCGCTATTTCAGTACTGGATCCTCGACGTTTTTATTGCTCATACGCCGCGCGAATTCCTGGCGCGTCCAGACGCCCTCGATCATCGCGCGACTCGATCCTTTTCCTCTTTCTCTTCTTTTCCCCCCTCCGCCCTCTTCTTTCATAGATTCTATATTATCTTTCCTTTCTTTGTTCTCTCTCCCGCCCGCGCGCGATTTGTTTCGCACCAGAGAAATATTCGATTGGTTAAATAAATGTGTGTTCATACTTTCCTTCTTTCAGAATTTTATTGCTCTTTTCTTCGATGGAGAATTTTGTGCTCGATAAATTGTCGATATATTGGAATTTTTTATCTTATATTTTGTTTTTATTTTTGTTAGATAATTCTGTGATTCATCTCTTATGTCTTTTTTTCAAAGAACGCAATATGATCGGTCACTTTACAGTTTTTTTTTTTTATTTTTTTTATTTGAGAAAAAGTAGAGAAATTTGGACTTTATACGTCTGTAGAAAGAATTCTTTTTGATATATCGAACCACTTATTTTCAACATCTACACTTTGCTTTGCATCACTTTGTTTCTATTTTCTTTTTCCGCTGAGCTAAAATATGACGCGAGCGCCGATTTGGCCCACGAGGATGCAACGCGACGATGCACCGCATGTGAATGCGAGGCAGGTGATTCAGGCAGCCGAAATAAAAGGCTAAATATATATCGCCTGCAGCCAGTACGTTCTCGCTGTCACGTGAAGTAAATAAACAGGACGGCGGCATTTCCGGACAAATGTATCACTTTAAAATTATATTTTAACGCTGAATACGCGATATAAAAGTACGATTGGTAATCTTTTATTCGTATCTTTATTCCTTGCTCTATTAGCAAAGCTGATAGTACACGAGGGGTTCTAAAACTAACCGGACATCCGGATTCGTGAATCCATGACGGATTTGGATGAAAGACACATCCGGATTTATAACTCCCACATAGCGTACGTTGCGTGAAATTTGGACGTTTAAATTTTATCTCCTAAATCACTTTCTCTAAAATTCTATGAAAGAATTCGTTTAAAATATGTTTATAGAAAAGCATTGTTAGCACAATTAAAGTCTCAAGAAATATTGTTATTTAAAATTTTATTATAATATAATTAATTTTATGATTTAAATATATAAAATTTCATTGCATTATATTTAATATTTAAATATAATATACTTGACCAAATTATCAAAAACTTTTTTAAATTAAATATTTTAAAATCTTATTACTTTTCTTATAATTCGTCGATAAAAAATATAATTTTTATATATCAAACAATCGAGAAAATCGATAGATAGAACATTATTTACGATTCTAATATTTTTTTCTAAGAACCGCTTAAATTAAAATAACTAAAAAAGTTTTTAACATAAATTCTTTGTTATCAAAGATCATTGAATATATTTCGTATTTACGTTCCTCGCACGATATCATTTGCCACGTAAAAGCTTATTAAAATGCAGAACCAACTACATTAACGGTCTGACTCACAAAATTTTGTGGACATATTTTAAGAAATTATCATTTTACTAGCTTATATATTTTACGTTGTATTGTCATTGTTATATTTCTCTTTCAGACCTTGGACTTCGATAGGGATGGTCTTACGAAGTTGAAAAAAGCTATCAAGGCTATCCACAACTCCGGAAACGGTAAGTCAAGAATTATCATAAATTTTCTTAGAAAATTTCGTTTTACGATTACGAGAATAACAATCAGTTGTCTTTTAGAAGACATATTTAACTAAACTTGTCATAGAATGTAAAACGAACTGTTGTTAGCGGTGAATGAAAATCATAAAATAATAAATGTCGACGACATGTATATGAAATACATGTTTATATTTTATGTAAATTTTAATGATAAATTTTTTTTGTTAAAAATTTAATTTTTTTTAAATTTTATTAATAAAGATCCTCTTTCCTTATTCTGTTTACTTTATGGAATTTTATGGAAAGAATGTCGCACAAAAGTAGTGTGTGTGTGTGTGTGTGTGTGTGTGTGTGTGTGTGTGTGTGTGTGTGTGTGTGTGTGTGTGTGTGTGTGTGTGTGTGTGTGTGTGAAGTTGGCGTCTCATTTCGCGGAAACTCACAAATTATTGAGAGTTCTGACTTCCTTTCGAATAGTTCTAGAGTTCCTGATAAATTAAACAAATAGTTCTGTTCATTAAAGCGAAAAAAATCGGTTCGGACAAAGTGAGACGCCAGGTTCACGCCGCGTCTCACATTGTCCTAAACAAGTTCCGATGTCCGCCGATGCAAAATTTTGAAAAATTTATAGTTCTACAAGAGTTCTATAAAGAGTTCTGTCAAATTAAAGCAAAAAAAAATTATTTAAACATAAATACAGAGTAATTATTAATGTAATAATAGATCGAGCTAAACTACAAACAAACAACTCGGAATTCTGGCTTAAAAATTATACTTTTCGTATAGTTCTCAACATGCAGAAGCATTTTCTAAAGAATTCCGGGCAATTGCGATAACGTACAATTGTTAAATAAATAAATATCACCCGAGCGTCACATACTTAAACACATAGGTATAAGACGCTGGCCGTTACTTCGGAGTTCTGGCTTAAAAATTATACTTTTTATATAGTTCTCAACATACGGAAGCATTTTCACAGAGTTCCGGGCAATTGCGATAACGTACGATTGTTAAATAATAAATATCACCCGAGCGTCACGTACTTAGACACATAGGTATGAGACGCTGGC